ATAATAGAACAGGGAAACAATTTATAACTTGCTGACATATTAGCTATCAAAAAAGCGCGGGAGATAAACGATAAAATCAAGATGGCGGAAAAGCGTCTTTCCTCGGAAATTAATATCGTTAGTGAAATATTACGTTCAAGGTTTTAGGTGTTTGTTAATGACGTAAATAATGCGGTATATTTACATATTATACTAATATATGGAACTAGATTGTGAAAAGAGAAATATATTTCGAGAATTTTCGATAGCCCACCTAAGTTGCCACCAATAAAATTAAAAATCTATTGAGTTCACATTTGATTTGAAAATTGAGACGTGAACAAATATGACTGTATACATAATATACTTACTTATCCTTATTATTACAGGTGCGAAGAGTTATTCAAACTGTTATGCTACTCATATTTACTATCAAAAAGGTCAGGTGCAGGAGATCAAGTTTTTAAAAACTACAAAGGTGTAAAACCGCAATTTTCATACAACAATCTGTACAAAGTAAGCGACTGAACCTCAAAAAGGTACTTTTAAAATCAAAACAAAATTCAAAACAGACACTTCTGTAGTTGTTTTTGGCAACAAAACAAAATTCAAATAGATAATTTCCGGATTACGATAGGTAGGACCTCTACTATTTACTAGGTGCTATAAATTATTCACGAGATACCTACCTACGGTACAAAAGTTCATTGAACTTAAATTATTCAACTTCAAAATATCTCTGACATGAAACTTTTGTAAGACAAACAGAATAATATCGGACTCACAAAGTTACGTCGTTTAAAATTCCACAGATAATCTACACGAACGATCAATTCTTCGAAACTTTTTTATTTGAGTATACAAACTCTTTCTTTGGTCGTGCTTGTGTTTGTGGAACACCAATATAAGAGTTATTGTGTAATCATTACTTAATTTTCATTACTTAATTTTATAGATGGCTATCGTAACTATAATTCAAATATGTTTAAACGAAAATTAAAGTCATATTATTCCGAAATATCTTAAGTTCTATATAAGTGTAAGTTTTAACGCCTATATGATATTTAATTATGGTATAATATCACGCCTTCATCCCCGAAGTTGTTGGCAGAGGTGCACATTATGCCACTGTACAATGTAACACCCACTTTTCACTATTTATGATGTGAGTCCCATTTAATAGGAAGTGAGCCTATTGCCATATACCGGGCACAATTCCAGACTCCGTGCTACTACTGAGAATTTTTTTAAACCCAGTATTACTTTGCCCGACCCGGGAATCGAACCCGAGACCCCTTGCCTGGCAGTTGCACTTACGACCACTCAGCCTAATATTTTTTCATTACCACTTCATGCCATTATGGAAAAAATCATAAAAGACTAAAAAATAAACCACAATAGTACTTTGCCAATAGCCAATAGCACTTTGAGTGTCGTGGTGGCCCGGAGGTTTAAGACGCCCACTTCTCATGCATGAGGGTGCGGGTTCGAAACCTACCAACGGCAAGTACCAATTTGATTTTTTCCGAGTTATATGTACTTTCTAAGATTATTTAGACACCACTGACAAACGGTGAAGGAAAACATCGTGAGGAAACCTGAACTTATAATTTCTAATTATAAGTTTGAAATCGCCAACCCGCATTGAGCAAGCGTGGTTATTAATGCTCTAACCTTCTCCGTGTGAGAAGAGGCTTTGCTCAGCAGTGGGCATTTATAGGCTGTTGATGATGAGTACTTTGCCATACCCGATAATTGGACCTAAAACCTTCATCCTCTGCCGTCAAGTTAGTCGGCAGTCTCTATATATACCAAAAATTCGTCAAAAACTACAGCTGTGAAGGTATAATAGAGAACCAAACACCTAAGTTACGAACAAACTTTTCTATTATAATATTAGTAGAGCTGTGGCTATTCATTAATAATTCAGCGTTGGGCCACATTAATTCTTGTTTATATTATTCTTTGTTACTTCCAAGGTGTTGTACTACCCTTTCGGTTAATTTCGTACAGAAAATGAGTCTATTTTTATGTACTAGATGATTGATACTTGGCCTTTGTATTAATGTTTGGGTACTTTGTCTGGAATGTAAGAAAATATTTTCTTCCGTTGACTTTTTTTAAGGGGGGAAAATCATCGAATGACTTCTCCCACCTGGGTGAGGCGGGAGGGAGTGTCAGACTGTTACTGACTAAAAACCACCCTGTTCCTTCTCCTGCACGTCGAGCCGGAGCCCCGGTAACCCGTTAGGTTCTCCACGACTTCTTTCGTTGACTACCTCTATAACATGGCAGTAGGATCGCCCAGCCCCTACTACATGGGACTCATAAAGTAAGTGGTGATAAGTGGGTCTTAGTAATGCGCACTTCCTCCTACTACACAAGGACGTTTAAAAAAGCAGACATAATGTCACTTACAAATGATTGAAGCACCAAAATGGCAGTGGGTTATTTATGTGTGCGTGTGTAATGGGTTACCACGTTACCAGACTTAAGAAAATGACAGATGTCCTTTGTGTCAATGTGTGTATGTTCTGCGTGTAAGTCTATACTCTATAGTAAGGTGTCACAGTCGTTGTTTCAAGAGACTATGTCTGTCTTTTTTAACGTCTATCTATGAAGATTTAAAAGATGTATGCTTACAAATAAAATAACACATTCACAAATCTCACTTATTCAATATCGTAAAAATGTTAAAGTCAAAGTCAAAGCATTTATTGCCGGAATACTGAAACGTTACTCAATTTTAAGTCGTGCTTAAATATCGTGCCATCTCTGTCATTTTACAAAGAATTTGTGGAGAGAGAACTATACTTAAGCGCGACTTAAAATTGAGTAACGTTTGAGTATTTAGGTATATTTCAATTAAACCATAATTTGGTACTATTAAAACGTCAACAAATACAATAAACTAAGATACCACCAAAATAACAACCGAGTTACTTAATCTCAAACCAAAGAAATTTAACCGCAAACAGCCTACTTTAGAGGGTAAGTAATCCAAGGTAACTCAACCCTAAGGTCTGATAATAGAGTATAATTGCGGCAACACCTGGGATTATGCACGATTGACGCTTAATCTGATATGGGATCATTTATAAGAGGACGGAAATTACTCCCGATTTCTGTCTTGTAGAGAGTGGGGTTAAGGGAGCACTGTCTTATGTTATTCGTTAGTACTGATTGTTATAAGACTTATAGTTCTTAACAAAACATCATGCCTTTTATTCAGGCACCTTTGTTCGACTCGTTGCGATGACTCTACTAATGAGACCTTGACTTAGGCTTGTTATATTATATGATACGAAACAAATAATAACTATTTAATATTGTAAGCCGTAATCATATACACGTGTCGTTAGCGGCAACTGCCCACTTGACCCTCATGAAACATTATTACCAAAGTTATATTGTTATGGTCGCATTATAACTCTACATATACGGAATATTATATTACAAATGTTTACTAAATCTCTTTATAATGATAATATGAAAGAAAATAAAAAAAATATTCATAATGTTTACTAATAGTAATTATAGTAAGACGTTATTTTGAAGGTGAAATTAGAAAGAGTTGACATTGCGATATTCCTCGCGTCTACGGTCTAGAGGTAATAACTATTTTATGGGCCCCTATTGTGGCTTAAAACTACGCGATTGAATCTCATCGAACAGCCATATGAGTCAAATGAATAATCTAATCGATTTTAACAGCAATAAGTTTAAATTATTGACAGTTAACTTGATAGATGGCACTATAAAACACTTTACAAAGTTCCGTCACTCAAACTAAAGAATTCGCAGGCATTCGAATAAAATCAAGATGATCAAGACCCTTATCATCTAGATTCTAGATCAAAATAGTGCTTAAAAAGATTCGGCAGATAAGTCTTAAACTAGTTTAACCCTACCCGTTGAGATTAATGTGCCAGCCGTCCAATTAAATGAATTCAAGTGACCTTAGAACGTAATGGCGATGAACTCAAAATGAATAAGTTCTCTCGAGTCATTTCATCGGGACATGATAAAGTGCTGTTTCTTTTAATTATAAAACTTTGCGAATGCGATGGTATTTCGTTTTGATTTTGTTTTTTTTTTGTTGATCTGTTTGGTATGGTTTGAACCAATTAGCTGTTTGTATAACTATTGGTGACTATGAGAATGACTGCTTCATTTAATGTTTGTAGTTCATGTAGTGTAGCCAAGTCTTAGTGCAATTTATCGATCATTCATCAAAACTTTTCAGGAAACGAAATAAGATAAAAATAAAGGAGTGGTGATATGACGAGAGTATTTACCTACTCTTGAAAAATATCAGAGTTTATATGAAAAATAATTCACCCTGATGAGAAATGCATCAATGGAAATTATTTTTAAATGAAATAGTTTTGTGCAATATTTGGAGTGGACGAATAACAACTCTATCAAGTCGACAAAACTTTTTCGCCAGGTCAATGTCAAGATCAAAATGATGAAAAAGTGACGGCCAACCTTTAGGAATTAGTGATACCACAAAAAGATGAGATAGTTATGTATCGTAGAAAATGAAATATCAAAAAGTGTATGGATTTAAACTGTCAAACACCGAGCGGTCACCGGTGACCGCAACCTATTGTTCTTTAATTGTGTCTATAAATACGGTACTCGACGAGTTAAATTGCGTCAATAATTTATACTTTTTAGTCACTAGCTTTTACCCGCGGCTTCGCTCGCGTCACAAAAGGATAAAAAGCCAATGTGACATATACCAATACCAATACCAATACACATAGCGCCATCTATACCAAAACTTTTGTTTCCCTCGGGAATATCAAATCTTTCCGGGATAAAAAGTACCCTATTATTTAATCCGGACTTCTAACTATACATCTGTAAAAATTCAAAGCAATCGGTTTAGTAGTTACGGCGTTAAAGTGGAGCAAACAAACAAACTCACTTTCCGATTTATAATATAAGTAAGGAGGAAGGATTGTGTCAACGCACTTTTTACTAAACGTTGATAAAATAGAAAATTCACTTACTTCATCTCCGCATCAGATTTTGCAAGCATCCAGACGACATGTCCTGGGTCGCGGCGAGAACCAAGTGCCATCAGCTGTGATAGCTTTGCTCCTGGCGGCAAGGTGGGTCTGCGCGGCACCTGACCCGTCCACGTCGAGATGGCTAGCATCTCCGGACACTCCTTTACCAGGTGCTTTTGAGTCGCCATGCATTTTCCTGATGCGTCCTGTGGGTATAAAATGAAAAAGTTGTACTAGTAAATCTATATAAATAAAATCATTTCCGTTCGTAAGTCTCGCTAAAACTGGAGAACGGCTGAACCGATTTGGCTAATTTTGGTCTTGAAATGTTCATGGAAGTCCAGGGAAGTCCAGGGAGCATTCTCTTTCCTTATCACTAGAGCTGACCGAAGGAGAGACCGGGCATCTGTGCTCTCTGATAGACCTGTACCTTTTAAATTACCATGTTCAACCCATCTGACAAGCGAGGCGATTATGGGAAACCCTCTTATGTAGAAAACGCCTGTAGTAGCCTGTTACAGGAAATTTTTGTACTTGTTACATTATTACATTATGTTAAATTATGTATTGTTACGTTTACATACCATAATATAGAAAACTAACAACAAATCACTTTCAAAACACAGTCATAAAAGAATCAGTATTCATAATACTGTGAGACGATTCGAGAATGGATGTGTGCTCCTTTGTGGCGAAGGAATACCGGCGTGCGGCCTGTGGCGACCCTTTAATTACTGGCCACACCTGTGGTTACCGCCTCGTCTGCTGCCAAATTTATTAGTTTCCTATGCTAATGAGAATTCTGGTGTTATTCTCGAAATGTCTTCTAGTACTTGCTAGCTTAAATAAAATGGTATTGCATCCGTCAGTTTTGTAGTGATGTATTTCATCAACACTTTCAGATGCAAGTTGCCTAAATTATGGCATATGTGAAGGTTTTTATTCAGGTCTTACGTACAAAACCCATGGGAAGACTAAGGTTGTCGATAAATATATTTTTCATTCATTTACAGGGCTTGGTTTCTCAGAGACAATATCGACCAGTGCCAGAACTAACAGACCAGTAACGAATGTTTTATTTTATTCATATTGTGGGTCTATTATGTATGTCGAATTAGTTAGTTAACACCTATCCTTACTTCCTTACTTATATTATAAATCGGAAAGTGAGTTTGTTTGTTTGTTTGTTTGTTCCGCCTTCACGCCGTAACTACTAGACCGATTGCTTTCAAATTTTGCAGACGTAAAGTTAGAAGTCTGGATTAAATAATAGGGTACTTTTTATCGCGGAAAAAATTGATATTTCCTAGGAAAAATAAAAATATTGGTATAGATGGCGCTGTATGTACTGGTATAGATGGCGTTGTATGTTCTTTAAAACCAGTCAACGAATCACATAGGCTACTTTTCATCCTTTTGTGACGCGAGCGAAGCCGCGGGTAAAAGCTAGTTTAATATAAAAAGCGATATAGATAATCGAATATTCCTTTTTGATACTATGTAGTATAAATTCCAATCAATCAGTATCGATAACAAATCTGTGACAATTAATTACTCATTGTTTCAGCCGTGGCAAGTATTCCATTATTGTTTTTGTCAATACAGCTTTGTTTTTCTACGTCGAACTGCAATTCAAATGTAATTGTTTTGATACATTCATTTATTATTAAGTATTAGTCGAAATATCTGATTTGTATAGACCTCGGTTGTTTTGTTATTTAATTAAAGAATAGTGGCCAAAATGGACCCACATGATTTTAAAATCGTACACTTGCAATACTATATGAATTTAAATAACACGCTTGATAAAGGAATTTATAAAAATTATTGATTTTTTAGCTCATAGTAATTCAAAGTGATGAATAAAAAAAATTGTTATCATACAGTTTGCGAACGCATCGTGTGTCTATGGTTGCATTCCTATCTACATACCTAATTAATTATTAAATAAATTCATTAACTCGTCGAGTACCGGTTTTATAGACACAATTAAAGAACAATAGGTCGCGGTCACCGGTGACCGCTTGGTGTTTGACAGTTTACTGAATTCATTCATTGCGTTGGACTTAATATTTAATAATATACTCCACAAGGTCTAAAGTAATTACCGAAAAAAATCACAGAAAGCCAAACAAGTCTAGAGCCAAAAATAGGTAAAACGAGCAGGAAAATTACACGATGTCAAACATAGAAAAACCTTAAATCAATCAAGCGGAACAAATATATCAATGAACGAGGAACATTCAATTCCAACAATAAAAGTCTAGTCGATCAATCGGCGGGCACTGATCTATCTATCAAGTAGAAGTCCACCTTATAATTCACACTTCAACGTCCATTTCCCAAACACAAAAACGTCTCGAAAACCATCGATCAGCGTTCGTAAATTGTCGGGTATTTTCGTAAATTTCCACACAATGTTACATGAGTCCATGACTCCATTTTGATGAAGGTCTGTGAACAATGTACGAATTATAAAGGACTATCGGTATACGTGTCAACTGTCGCACGTGTTGAATTCGAAATTAGCTCGCGAACGGCCAGAGAATCGGTTTAATTTTGAATAGACAACCGTTCCTTGATTAAACGTTAGCATTCGGCGCGAAATATTAATGGCGCCTGTTTTGATCACAAGAGACGTTTTATTAGGTGGCGGGAATTAATGGCTTTTGAATTGAAAATGGAATTCGTTAGTCGAACAAGAGAAGTTTAATGTTTTAGTCCTTTTTTTTCTTGCGATCAACTTTTGATGACTTGTTAGAATTTTTTAAATTTTAAAACGTTTCAAAGAAAGGTTTTTAAGTAAAATATTCTAAAATTCATTCAATTTCATTGTTTTACGTTTTTTTAATCTGTTAATCTTTTCAAGTCTCATTTTCACAGATTATACAACTGTGCACCTGAATAGATCGGTTATTCAGCCAAGCAAATGTCAGAAATTGTAGAATCTTCGTGCGTCATAGACTATTCACTACGTTACGCTTGACCTTTCAAACCTCACACTCCAGAAGGAAACGGCAGTCAACACAACATAACTAGAGGTACTAGGCGCACATAACATGACAGGTAGTCTCATTGGTAAACGAAGCGATAAGAGAGAGTAGAATTAAAAAAGTAGTGTTCTTATTTCGAATGCAGCTGCATACCGAAATATAAAAAAAGAAGCAGAAATGTTTTTTATGTTCGATTTTAACACATTGACCGCCATGGGGAACAACATACTGACCACTCAAGTCTAGGATAATTATGCTCTCAACAGTTTTTTGTCAAATGTAAAATAAAGCGAGAAAATGAAAATGAAAATGTTTTCAGAAAGCTTCCCGACCCGACAAATCAAGAAGCTCTTTTTTCAAATCTCATTTTTTATAAATTTTTAATCGATAGAACACTAAAATCAAGACAAAATATAGAGATATAGACAAGAAATCCTTGGAAACATATCATTTATCCGTAGTACTTATACCTTTTTTTTTAATACTTATAGGTACCTACGGATCAGCAAATGGTCTATAGATCAAAAGTCTAGAAATCATTACGGTAAACGAGCATTCAGGTACTAGGGACCCAGAACTCAATGTGGATGAATTGAAATTAAACTTAGACATCAAAGATCAATCAATTTAGGTAGCCTTTATATTAGCCAAAGATCTCCACGTAGGTACCTTCATACCTGAAAGTACATGTTCATTGAACAACCCAATGTATTGGATAGGTCTGCAAACAAAGATCGTGTGGTTTCGGAAACGTTCGGCCCTCTTCGGAAATTGAATCGCTTGTTTTTGAATAGCGAAGCGAGTTCTTTGATGGAATTGAATGAAATGATGATTCGTTGAATTGGTGTAATTATCTTCTTTATTTGGTTTTTTAGATCCTAATTAGGTGTAAATACCTAATACTTGAGCGAGCTATTCACAATTTAGGTCTATTGTCTACAGCGCGTCATTTGAGCAACCTTCGGCGGATTTGTATGCGAAGTGACTCAACGTTGCCGCTTCGTGAACAGATTCATTGTTTCTATTAGCAAGTTGCAAGCATTTACCATTTGTAATTCACCTATAATTGAGATGATGACAGAGTATGAAAATTAAACATCTAATTAGTCCGTAAGTTAGGTAATTAAAAAATATTAGACACGTATTTTTTTATTTTGTCTTATAACAAAACAATACTTAGATAAAACGAATCAAAGTTTAGGAGAGGGGGCTAAAACGTCATTTCTATGTATAAAATTTACATAGAAGTGACGTCACGCGACATTTCAAATCTATATATCGTCGAAAGTATTCGTTTCTGTAAGAAAATAAAAAATAAGTGTCTAATGATTTAAAGTAATCTACCAGACGGATGATACGTCTGCGTCGTGGACAGTTCACTACTTATTCTTGTGTAGGCAGGTACCTACTCATTTTTAGTGAACTTTAACGGATGTTGATGGTTTGATCCATCAATTCTTTAACGCTTTTAATGTAATAACATTAATGTATTGTCTACCTTTCTATAGTACCAGTAATGGCACGTGCAATACCTCAAGCGTAATCATGTTAGTGTAGCACGAATTTGTACTTTGTTTTAATTGGGATAAGAACTAATTTTGTGTAGTTGAAAGTACACATGAAACGTCCCTTTATTGTTTTAAAAGTTATAGGTACTGAGGTAGATACTACTGTGCTATTAGTAGCGTTATATTAAAGAGAATATTTTGTTGCTATTATAAGAAAATATTTAGACTGCCTCGTTGGCCGAGTGGTCGCAAGTGCGACTGCCGGGCAAGGGGTCTCGGGTTCGATTCCCGGGTCGGGCAAAGTATTACTGGGTTTAAAAAAACTGAAATTGTACCTGGTACATGGCAATAGGCTCACCCCCTATTACATGGGACTCATAACATAAATAGTGAAAAGTGGGTGTTACATTGTACAGTGGCATAATGTGCACCTCTGCCTACCCCTTCGGAGATAAAAGGCGTGATGTTATGTTATTTAGTTGCTATTGAACAATTTGCGACTCCGTGATACTAATGAAAATGAATAAATTGGAAGATTCATGATTTATTATGCGCATTATATGAGCCTGCCCCGTTGGCCGAGTGGTCGCAAGGGTCTCGGGTTCGATTCCCGGGTCGGGCAAGTATTACTGAGTTTAAAAAAAAAGTTTAGTAGTAGCACGGTGTCTGGAAATGTGCCCGGTATAAAATATGGCTATACGCTCA